GAGGAGTTTGCAGGAGCAGTTTATCAAATGAGCACAGGAGTGAAATCCTCATTGGCCATTGGCTGTACTTTCTGAAATCATTTTTCCAAACAGTGATCATTCCTCATTTGTCCTCATCCTGTGCATATTTATCAGTGCATATTCTAAAGAAACATGCATCATTTTAAAGATACATTGACTGTGTTCTAATAAACGGTTGACTTATACGTTATCCTTATTTAGATGCTGCTCATGGTGCTCGCCTTGTAAAAATGCCAAATGCAATTAAGAGCGGAGTACAGAACAAGAAATGTCAACCTTTTTTATGTTAGGATGTCAGTTACGCCATTGCATAGGTTTGTCAATTGCCCATTCTCTATTGTTGTAGGTGCCCCAAAAATGCAAACCCCACAGTAACGCTGGCTATACACTGTTCAAATTTGGTCATTTTCCTGGAGAACCACCCAAAATTCGTTCATTGGATGGACCTGTTGTCTGCTTCCCACTTGACATCCCTGGAATGAAAAATCGAAGAAGCCAAGGCAGAAAATGGTTGGTCAAAAAGCAGCTGCATGACAAGGTTAGCTGACAAAATACAATAACTACAGTTGGAGATTTGTCCATTTGTGCCACATATCGTTAATGGAAGAAACTATCAGTTATTTCATGTATAACCTTAGAGACGATTTGCTATACCTCATATTCTGAGGACTGAAAGCACGCACCTTAGGGCTCGTTCACACTTGACTAATTTCTAACTCTTGCCAAAAGCCCCTATAGCGTTTAACAGGCGTTTGGGAAAAGTTAACATTCCTCAAATGCTCACCAAATGCCCTATGCGCCTACAATGAAGTTTAATGGTATTAACCACTTGAGCTCCAGAGGATTTACCTCCCTTAATGACCAGGCCTCTTTTTGCTACTCGGCGCTGCACTAATTCAACTGATAATTGCGCGGTCATGCAATGCTGCACCCAAACGAAATTTAAGTCCTTTTTTTCACACAAATAGAGCTTTCGGTGTAATTTGATCACCTGTGCGCTTTTTATTTTTCACGCTATAAACAAAAAAAAGGCCAAAAAATTTTGAAGAAAAACAAAATTTTTTATTTTCAGCTATAAAAAATATATAGTAAACTCAAAGTTGGTTATAAATTTAGGCCAAAATGTATTCTGCTACATGTTTTTGGTAAAAAAAAAAATCCCAATAAGTGTATATTGATTGCTTTGTGTGGAAGTTATAGCGTCTACAAACTATGGTATAAATACTGCAATTTACGCCTTTTTTCTGCTATACAGCGCTGCGCTAGTTTAACGGACAATTGCGCGGTCATGCAATATGGTACATAAATGAAATTTACATCCTTTTTTTTCCCCACAAATTGAGCTTTCTTTCGGTGGTATTTGATTGCCTGTGCGGTTTTTATTTTTTGCGCTATAAAACAAAAAAATAGGCTGACAATTTTGAGGAAAAAAAAACAATATTTTGGACTTTTTGCTATAAAACATGTCCAGTAAAAAAAAAAATGCAAAAATCAAATTTAGTCATACATTTCTGCCAAAATGCATTCTGCGACATGTCTTTGCTAAAAAAAAAAAACCCAATACATGTAAATTAATTGGTTTACGTGAAAGTTATAGCGTTTACAAATGGCGGGAAAGATACTGGGATTTTTAGGTTTTTTTTTATACTAATAATGGCAGCGATCAGCGAATTATGGCGGCGATCAGGTACTTACGGCAGCGACCAGCGACTTATGGCGGGACTGCGGCGGACATTCTGACATTGGGGGTACTGACTTGGGGTCACTGACATCCCCAAAAACACTAATACAGTGGTCAGTGCAAAAAAAAAAAAAAAAAAAAAACTGACACTGTACTAATGGCAATGGGGAGGAAGGGGTTAACTTTATTTTGCAGGGAAGGGTTATAGGAGTGAGGGGAGTGTTTTACTAGGGGGTGGGGGGTGTGTACTGGGCAGGACAAGGCTGATCGAGAAAGAGAAACTTTTCTTTCTCGATCAGCTCATCCTCGAGCTGACAGGGAAGTGACAGACAGCACAGCTACTGCAGCTGTGCTGTCTGTCACTGTTTGCCGCCGATTGCCGGGACATAGCCGCTAAGGAGCGGCTGTGACCCGGCGACTGCCATCTGTGGCGGTGATCCGCGGGGTTTTAAAACGTGGTTTTGCCTGCGAGTGCCGCCCTGCCGCCGTATATGTACAGTGGCTGGGCGGCATGTAGTTAATGCTCCGCAAATGCATCAAAACAACCTGCCAGGTGTTTGAGGAGCAGCACCATAGACTTAAATGGGAGGCTTCAACTCCTCCTGACTGGACATGAGGCGTCAATTTTGCCGCGACGCTAATGCTTCAGTGTAAACAGTACTGTGTGCTGCCATGTATAGAATTTTCATAGGCATTTGAGGAGAGCTAAAACCGCTTCCAAAACGCCTGTCTAACAAAGCTAGTGTGAACGTAGCCTTAAACACAGAGAACAGTACATTATGAGGACTAAAAGCACGCACCTTAAACACAGAGAACAGTACATTATGAGGACTAAAAGCACGCACCTTAAACACAGAGAACAGTACATTATGAGGACTAAAAGCACGCACCTTAAACACAGAGAACAGTGCATTATGAGGACTAAAAGCACGCACCTTAAACACAGAGAACAGTGCATTAAATAATGATGGATTGGCAATAAACACTGTACCATGCCGGTGCTATTAAGGAGTCTAACCAAAAAATAAAAAGACAGTGCCTGGTTTTCTTAAGCCACAAAAATGCTTCTCAGTGATAGGCATTTAACAGAAGAGAGTAACTACCCAATAAATCTAATAACATTAGTTACCTATAATGGCATCAACCAAGTGGCTCCTGCCACCATTCCCTAGGACAAAAAAAAAAAAAAAAAAAAAAAAATGTACAAACCACTGCCACTCAGTATTCCTGAGATGACACCACAACATTCACACCAGCGCCTGTGGTAGAATGCAGTAGCTGGTGTGTGGTTGGATAACAGTAGAGACAATGCACAGATTGTGGTGTACTGCACCGTTTACATTTCTTTTTTTAAACAAACTTTATTGACACGTCACAAAGCAGTGGATTGTGTCGCATTGCACTGAAAAAGTACTGCAAGCAGTACTTCTTTTCAGAGTACAGGTTCTACTGCACTCTCCCTTCGCATGTTCCTAACATTGATGAATCGATAGCTGCATTCATTTGAGTCTTTTATGTCTGCAATTTTACCTTAGTACATGGATAGTTTTAGTCTAGATAAAAATAACTTGATAATGAACATTTTGCAATGTACCAATAAAAATTATCACAAAGACCTTCAAAGCCAAATTACTTCATCAAACTACAACAATCACCATCAATCTGAAAAGAAGCACAGCTTGGCACAGAAATGTCCCCATTGGAATTGCCTGGGATGTTTAATTTTTTTCATTAGAAAACTGCAGTGATTGGCTTTTGGCAGAGAAATATTTAAAATCAACTGAAAAAAAGTTTCACACCATCCTCCATTTAATAAGCCTGCTAAGAGAGCAAAGGTTCTGGGCTTGTGCACAAGGCCACAAAAGGGGCTGCACAGCATGCAAGAGCATACAGAACCTGAGTAAAATCCGCCCTGGGAGCCACAGCTTCTACATACAGCCTCTCACAGAAATCAATTACAGGTTGGTTGTACGCAGGTCCAGGATTGGTTGTCAGTGCGCATTTATGCAAGTTGCAGCATATATCCACATCCTGTGATTGCTTTCTAGGGGCAGCTATACAAAGGAGCTGTGGCTACAGGGGGAAAATTTTATGCAGGGACTGTACATTCTTGCACACTGTACACCCCCTTACGGTCATGTGCATGAGTACTTCAAAGAGGAGGGTTTTTTTTAACCACTCAGTGACCGCCCCATTTACATTTACTGCAGCAGGGTGGCTGCTGTGCGTTTGATCGCATATCAGGTACGTGATCAGTGATATTGGGTAGGGTAGTTACAGCACAAGCCGAACAGTGGGTCCTAGCTAATGACTGATTGCCAGGACCTGCCGATTGGCTCCATGATTCACAGAAGAGAGCTCCGTGCTGACAAACGAAACAGAGCTCTGCACACCAGTAGTCAAGCTGGCTTTTTTTATTCCCCAGGGGAAAAAAAAAAAAAAAAAAGGTCACTTAGTAAAAGCAGAACATATTACACATTTTTAGTCACACAGTTAATTCCTTGATCACCCTTAGATGTTAATCTTTCATAGCCAGTGTCATTAGTACAGTGAACAGTATTAGCACTGATCACTGTATTAGTGTCATTATTGATATCAGTATCAGTTACTGTACCCCACACAGCCAGATTGTCCGCCACACTAAGCTGCAGATCACAGCCATTACTTGTTTAAAAAAAATAAATACAAATTATATATATATATAATATATATATATATATATATATATACATATATACATATACACATACATACATACACACATCATAGTTTGTAGATGCTATAACTTTCACGCAAACTAATATACACTTATTGCAATTTTTTTTTAATCAAATACATGTAGCAGAATACATTTTGGGTAATTTCATAAAGAATTTTTTTTTTTTCCCCATCAGATAGGATTTATAGCAGAAAGTAAAAAAAAAGTTTTTTTTTTTACAAACTATTTGGCCATTTTTTGTTTTATATAATAAAAAACCCAGTGGTAATAAAATACCACCAGAAGAAAGCTCTATTTGTGTGAAAAAAAATTACAGAATTTCATCTGTGTACAGTGCTGCATATGGCCATGCAATTGTCAGTTAAAGTAGTACAGAGCTGAATAGCAAAAATGGCCTGGTCATAAAACCTTCCAGAATGTGGTTTAAACAGTTCCAAAGACCTTCTTTCACACCAATATTTACCAGAATATGTACAAAAGATGACAAACGTGAAATATTTTGGCAGAACTATCAGGAAAATAAGCCATCAAACATTTTGCATACAGTATCTATTGTAAACATCCAAGAAGTGACCTTACCTGACATTCTCTGGCGTAAGCTTATCAAGCACCATTTGTATTAAATCTGGCCTAAATTCCTCCAGTAGATACTCAGCTGCCAGAACCTCTTCTATGGGGTAATACTTTAACAAAAAAAAAAGTAAAGATTAAAAGATTAAAATGCTGCTAGTGAGGTTTGGGTTAGATTCTGTATTACAAATCTGTTTAAAGAAGATGTCTTATTAAAAAGAAGCCAAAAAATACCTGTCCTTCCAACCCCATGTCCAATCGTTGGAAACTCATGCAGGCTCCACCTCCGCAACATCTCCAAAATACGTACGTTCCTAACCCCGGAAACTACTAAACAACTCGTTCACTCCCTCATTATCTCACGTCTGGAGTACTGCAACTCCCTTCTCACCGGCCTACCCCAACACAGGCTATCCCCGCTTCAGTCTATCCTGAACTCAGCGGCCAGAAACATCCACTTTACCAACCACTCCGCTTCTGCCACCCCCCTCTGTCATTCCCTCCGCTGGCTTCCGATTGTCCAACGCATTAAATTCAAGATACTAACACTGACGTACAAAGCCATCCATAAAGCTGCCCCAAACTACCTCACCGACCTGATACCCAAATACCCACCCAACGCATATGCTTCACTCCTCACAAGACCTCCTACTTTCAGGCTCCCTGGTCTCCTCCTCCCACGCCCGACTGCAGGACTTCTCCAGGACTTCCCCCATCCTCTGGAACTCACTACCCCAATTTATCAGATTGTCACCTACCCTCCTCACCTTTAGGCGCACCCTGAAAACCCATCTCTTCAGGGAAGCCTACCCCAGCCTCACTTAACACCGATTCTCCTCCACTCCTCCTACCACTCCATCCCCCACAGCCACTTCCTCCTGTACCACTATCCCCTCCCTCCTAGATTGTAAGCGCAAAAGAGCAGGGCCCTCAAACCCCTCGTGCATTGTTTTGTTACTGTGTTGTCTCATGTACTGTCCCCCACTATAATGTACAGCGCTGAGCAAACCTTCTGGCGCTATATAAATACTGTATAATAATAAATACCAAAAAGTTTTACTGGAAAAGTTGTTTAAAGCTGTATCCTACTAACTACCGAGCCTCGCTTTTTTAATATACAATAGCCAAAAAGAAAGTGGTAATTCTAACTGCAAACTGTGCTTACGTGAATTTAAATTTAAAAGGATACACCTACACAACATGAAATACGTCATATTGAAATAAAGATTGAGCAGAATGCATTGTGCAAGAGTGACATTTTCACACAGTAAAAGCTGGTTTGTATGAAAAAAAAGATCTATATTTGGGACTTATGAACAGTAAGTTACATCTGAAAGGAAATTGTTAATCTTTTATTAGCAAGCAGCAGGATTTAATTCTGAACAGGGAAATATTCTTGCAGCAAAACTGGCCATACACAATTACTCTCCAGTCACATGAAGCACGACTTTGAAATCGTGCGGCTTCACTGTAAGAAACAGATGGCTATGCAAATCACACCAAAAGTAGTACATGTACAACTTTAGAAGTCGATGCGGCACCGACCAAGTCGGAATGGCATCGATTTAACCGCTGTAATTGCGGACAATAGGGTGCGACTTGGCATACGATTTGCAAATCGCATGCCAAGACACACATGATGTGACCAGAGAGTAAAGGAGGAATCGCTCTACCAGGAAACAGCAAATAATGTATAAAACAACAACTTTTCAAGGCAATTCACTACCACTCTGCATGACACTACGGAAGTACTAAAAGTACACTAGAGGCAGTGTTGACCATGAGACTGATCAAAGTAATTGTATTCTCTAGACTGGCTGGCATATCAAGCTACAGTCACACCTGCATTTTGCCCAACCATATGCACATGCAAAAACCCCATTGGGAGGTCCTGTTGATTAGGTGCAGGAGATAGCCTATGTCTAGGGCCCATCACTCACAGGTGATTGCGGCATAGCAAATACATGCAAGTGACTGCAATTAGCTGAGAGAAGCCAGCAGCCTCCCATTGCTTTCAATGGGGCTGTCTCCTGTAGGTAAATGCCAAGCCCTCCAGATGGGGTTCTTGCTGTACACACTGTCCAGCCAAACATGGGTGTGAATCGCCTAATATTTACCTGTGCAACTGACTTATGCCAAAGAATCTGAAAGTGTCAGATGCCTGATGCTCCTCTGTTTACTGTGGTTCCATTTGCCAGCCTCTATGTCACTGTCAGACAGTAGTGATATACAGGCCACCAGAGAGAAGTGTGAAGTAATGGACAAGGCACAAGGGTGTAGGGTACAGATGATTCTTTGACAGCTGTATGCTTTAGACAGTGAAGATAAGTGGCACTGCTAACAAGTATGAAATGTTTCAACAAGCAGCAAATTTTTTTTGTCTCATGTTGGTGGTGACAAAATTGCTTTAGGCTACGTTCACACTAGCCTACACAACATTTTACTATGCATGCTAGTGCAGTACTGGCTCCAGCAGGAAGCAGTGCAATCTGTATTTCAATGCATCCCACTACTTGCTTTTTTTTCCCTCAACTTTATTTGCAGTGCCACATAGTGATGATTCATCCATGTTGCTGCACAAGAGAATGTGTATGTTGTGCTGTGATATGCAGTGCCTTCCAGTGTGCTGCAGAAAAATAAAGACAAGTTGCATTTTTCCACACTGAAACATACTTCACATCATACATGTGTTGCAGTGTGAACTGGGCACATCAGTGTCGAAAAACACAGGTCACTGCACACAATGTGAACAAGCCTTTAAGGATTAATGAACAGTGAGAAAAAAGACCCCACTTACTGGCATCAGGTAATACAAAAAAAACAAGGTGTGTTCTTTCTTCGCAATTTAAAATTAATGAAAAAATTGAACAAAAATGCAGTCAATGAAGACAGAACTGCACACTTGTTAGTAGCCAGTGAATGAGCATTTTAAAAAAAAAAGGGACAGCAACTGCAGCCAGTGAGTTTTTCTAAACACTGGATTTCTTTAATGCCAACACAAACACCATGTGTACATACTTACATGCAATAATCCAGCAAGCTTTGATGTGTACCCACGTGGAGGCTCCTTGTCTTTAAACCGAAAAGCAACAGCATTTAGGTCCTAAGAAAAAAATATATATTTATTAATTACATAAATTCCTGGCTTTTTGATGCTTACAATACCTGCCCATTTTCACCCCGGCCCCCACCCCCTCAGAGTTTAGTGGTCCTGCAGAGTACAGTTCTCCCCATATAAATTGAGGTTGCAGTATGCATGCTGAACACAGCCCAGAAAGGCTGTTTTGTGCAACAGAAATGAAAAAGGCTAAAAACAGTGACAATGCTGGATTGAGGATAAAGAAGCATATAAGACCAGGTGGGCTGCATTTAAGAGGGTTGCTGCATTCATTAAAAGGACAACTTGTACCAAAAGGTTTATTTGTCCTTTATGGTTTCCTCTGCGCAGAGTAACCTTAACCTACAAAGTGCAGACCGGAAAGAATTAAGGTCCATTTAAAGTGTTACTAAACCCAGGACCCTGCATTCACTATATCTGGTCTCCCACATTACGCAAAACATGGAAATGTAATTATTTTAGTAAATATAAACTGCTAAATACCTTTCTCAGCAGTAGTTAGAGAAGTCTTGTAACTTCGATCAGTGTCCAGAAAAAGCGCTGGTTACAGCTTGTAGGAGGAGTTATGCATTCTCCTGTAGGAAGATGCAGGACCCCCTGACCTGTCTGGTCCTGTGCTGATCACATGCACTCTCCCAAGAAAAAAAAACACTCTGCAGCAATACACACTAAAGTGAGCACGTGCAGCTTGCCCCTGAGCCTCTGTTCTATCAGGAGAAATTTAGGAGACACAGGAAGAAGGAGAGGATCAGAGAAGACCGGATCAAACATCCTTTTTACACAATGTGGAGGATTAACTCCTTAGGTGCCACAGTGAGTATAACAAGCATATTTTACAGCACATACAGACTGATTTTACGGTTGTGGGTTTAATAACACTTTAAATGGCAGGGTGAGCAGTCACTAGAGACTGGTTGAATCAAATCACTGTATAGTGTTATATATACACCATGTCTATACTGAACCTTCCTTTTTGCTGTTTTTAGGGAATTGTAGTCAGTTTTGCCAAACTGAAACCAAAGTACCATACCTAAAATGCTGCTGTTACAGTATATCTACTGAAACACTTTTCCATCTATAATAAATAGTAATAGTTTTTTTTCTATAAAGAGGTGCATCACCAAAAGCCAAAGCAAACACTGACAATGTTTTCTAGGTCATATATCTCTAGGAACAGATTTGGACAGGTCACCAAGGACAAGGACAGTTGTGTCACAGTCCCCCCAACTGAGCCAAGAATGTCTCTAAAAACATTACAACATACAAATACCACAGTGACCTGCTGAAATAATCTTGCAAGTGAATCTGAGGGGAAAAACCGAGGGGAGATGCCAGTAATGTGTTTTGCTTTTAAAACTTGCATGTTCTGGGGTTTTCATCTTGATCCTAGCTACCCGTCTGATGGGTTCACTAACCTGGAACATGCATGCAGTTGTTAACTCTATTAGAACTCCACAAAAACTGACAGATGTTCTGTCATCCCAATAAAAAAAACAAACACTTTTTTTGGCTGGAGTAAATTCCAAAATGTTATAGTTCTCAAACAAACTGCAGTAGATTGGAATCCCCTGATGGGGACCTATGTTCTGGTGAAGGCTGTCAATGGTGGGATTCTGTCTCATCGCGGGACATATTTACTCTAACTTCTTATTGTGTCTTGTGAAATAAAGAGGGCATAAATCTTCCCAATGAGGAAATAAATAAAAGCCTGAGAGAGACTCAAATTTTTCACAGCTTTGTCTAAAACTGGGCCAGAGTTCCATTTTAAGATGTAAAAGAGCATGATATCACAAAAAATGGAATTTGCCTAGTCAAGTCACTGGCTTAATACTAGGGATGTACATTACTGATAACTAAAGGATAAAGGAGTCCTGGTGTGTAAAATCAGCGCTATGGTGAAGACAGGTACTACAAAAAGGTATATTATGTCCTGTGTGTCTATAAAAAGTAAAATTTTTCCTGTTTGACAGGACCCCAGAAAGTCAGAGGCAGACAAGATCAAAATACAGAAGGCAGTTCTCACCTTGCATTCCTGAAAGACCCATTCTTGGGGTCCTGATGATCTCAGCATATGCATGTACTGAAACATGTGCAAAATGATGTCTTCAACATGTACTGGAAAAAGGAGAAATAGTAACAGTCTCAATAAATGAAATACAAATAGAAAAGCGCTCAATCCAGATATATTTGAATAAAACATTTTTTTTTAAATGTATGTTTAAATGCAGCTCAGAAAAGCATCTAAAATCATTCAGAAGAGATCCAGATTGGTTTTCCAATATCAGTTCTCACTTCCCTTCAAATCCATTCAACATTAAAAGTAGTTCGTACGGCTTAAGGTGGTAGTAAACTGCTAATTAAAAAAAAAAAAAAAAAAAAAAACCACAACAACCACAGGCCTCCCTGCAGGGTAAAGTCATAATATACTAGTATACACCGCACACTAGCACATTATGACAGATTTACCTGTGAAAACGGGTCCCCCCAGAGACGCCTTGTCACTGCTGACAGGGAATCCATCTTCTGGCTGCAGCTGCTTAATTGGCCGAGCCGTGATGACATCACTCCCGCGCATGTGCACGAGTCACTGTTTATGGCACAGGGCTCTGAAGGGACAGAGGGGTAGGCAGTTCCTTCAGAGTGCGTATGCCGATGACAGCTAATTATTATTATAGGCTCACCTGTAGGTACAAAGCAAAAAAAGGGAGTTTACTCCGTCACGTTTTTTTTTTTTTTTTTTTTACTTTCATGCATTTTATGCATGAAGGTAAAAAACTTTTAGTATGGATTCCCCCCCTCAGTCTTCCTTAATACTTACCTGAGCCCAATCACTATCTAGCGTTGTGCATGAGAGCAGCAGCTCTCCAGGGTTTCTCCCTACCCATTGACCCCTGCTGTTGATGACAGCCAAAGAGGAGGGAGGAGGTGCGGGGTTGAGCCGTGCTCTGTGCGTCTTATAGACACACAGAGGCAGAACAGGAGTGAGCATGCACAAGTGCCCCCAGAGAAAGCAGCTTGTTCTGGGAGCACTCAGCACAGGGGAGGAACTAGGAGAGCTGGCGTGGGGACCAAAGAGGAGGAGGATCAGGGCTGCTCTGTGCAAAACCATTCAACAGAGCAGGTAAGTATAACATGTTAGTTATTTAAAAAAATAGGAACCTTTAGTATCACTAACACTAATTCCCCACATCAACTTCTGCAAACCCACCGCCTTCTTCCAATATTGTCCCAGCCCCCATAGTCAGCCCATGCTTACTTTTTTTGAAGGGACTATAACTGCAGTTTTTGAGAAACCATATATGAGTGAAGGTGTCTATATGCTTCAATCAGACTCTGTGCATAAAAATTTTAACTGAGGGTAAAATTATCACTTTTAATCAATTCTTCCAAAAGGTCAAACTGATAAGAAAGTCATCAAAAAAGGCAGCAAAATTTTTTGTCATTTACAATGGGATTGTAGAATGTGTAGCATGTGGCGTGCATTGAAAACATTTATAATTATCACTGTAAATTGCCTACAATCAATGTAAATCTACAAAGTTATATAGTTATTTGACAAAGGAAGAACACAGTCTGAAAAGGCCTCAAAATGTATGAAAAAACCTTTACCAACTCTCCCAAACATACTGGTTATGAATAAGCTCACCCTTTAAAACAACAGATACTCACACAAGCCCTCTTCGGTCAGATCCACATTTACAATGAAGAACATGAATCCCTTGGCACCTTCCTTCTGGCCTCCAACCAAAGTGTTGACCCATCCTGTGCGCAAACAGAATTATCAGCATATGGCCAATACAGGCAATCAAGAGGAAGAGATATAAACATGACTGAAGAAGAGAATGATCAAAAAAAAAAAAAAAAAAGATTACATAAAAGGAAAAAAAAAAAAAAAAAATAGTGAAATGCAACTGTGTACATTTCTCTCTCATTTTTATCTTCCCTTCCTCACCTCATTATGTCTCTTGCTTTCCCTCTTAGGTCTTATTCTTTTTCACACCCTCTTTATCTAATGTGTTAATCATTCTATTTTTGCTCTTCAATTTATGACAACATTATGAGATCTCATCCAAACTGTCCACTCCATCCCTCACTCGTATAAGGACTTAGTATTTTGCCTATCCAATTATGTGCATCCATTGCAACTAAAGAGAGACGCTATAACATTAGCTGTTGTATGTGCAAACCCAGTGCCATGAAACTTGCATATACTTTAAACAAAAACTTACCTTTAGACTTCAGTTCAGAAAGAAGACTTCCAGGCCCTTCATGCCCAATGAGATGTCCGAGGTAGTGACCAGGATTGGATTTATAATATTTCTGGAGGTCAGGAATTGGGAATGTAACATAGAGGTTTCTGATATCCTTAATAGGCACGATTTTGTACATTTTCTACAAGATAAAAATGAATTGGAAAATTATATTTCCATTTAATAAAATGGAGCACAGCCTTTTTGCAAAGTGGGGGAAACAACATATCAGGTTTTGAATTTACCACAGTCTGTGCTCCTTGGACATTATATTTCATGACACTCTTGATCCAGCCATGGCAGCCAGCCCTCAGTTATTTAAGAAGCCGATTTACCATTCATTCAATTAGACAGTCCATCAGGAGCAAAGTTACACTAACAGAATTACATAATAGGAATATATGCTATATAGCTCTAGCTGTGAAAATAAAAATTATGATTCCATTGCCCTGCGTTAAAAGAAATATGGGAATGTAAAAAAAAAAAAACACACACATTTACCTAGGTGGATGCTGCATCTGTTTCAATGCCACCTCCAAGACTGAGAACTGAGCGATTAAAGACTGCTGATCGCTCAGTTCTCAGTGAGAAGAAACTGGCACTCTGCTCTGTCCTGCCCCTCCAGTACTCACTGGAGTGCAGGGCTATGGAGGGGGCGTGCTGAGAGGCTGAGCCAGCTGCTGGTCAGGAATCTGGGTGGAACTTTAAAATTTGGATCTCTCAAGAGCCTGGACTAGCTCAGTGATGTCAGCCAACAGCAGATTTTAGCTTGCTGCTGACTGAAAACTGGTCACAGTTGTGCAGAAGGAAGTCCACTTCTGTGACCCACAGAAGTAGTGCCAAAAGAGCTTTGGTCCTACTTTTCCTTAAAAAAAAAACAAAAAAAACCCCAAAACCCCCCCCCCAAAAAAAAAAAAAAAAAAAAAAAAAAAAAAAAAAAAAAAAAAACACACCTCTCCCTGCAATACCCACCCTAATTAACCACTATCTGCCAGTACAGGGCATCAAAGACCCACCCCCTAAAGCTTTTTCACCCAACCATCCTTGACTCAATGCTGCAGGTAACAGAGCTACATGTCTGTATGTGTGCCATTTTCTACAGCATTCACAACCCACCGCCAAAGTAGGAACAGTTCATGTGCCATCACACTGCCAGTCTGAAGACCCATGAAAAAAAATGAATGTATAGAAGCCTTATAGACCTTTAAAATGACAAAGGGCATAGGGTGCTTCAAGGGAGCAGTTACCAACCTGGAGTTGGGCTTTTGAGCATACAGTAAATATTGAAGTATAGATTAGAGTCTGAATGAAAAGGATGAAGTGCAAGTTAATGGTTCATTTCAGAGGGTTAGAAAGAGTATTAAAGTGGTTGTAAACCTCTGACATGAAATATGTACAAAATATATCCCATTGTACTTGACTCAAACCAGAGCACGAAGTGTGATTTGGTCTCTGCTGATTTCTTCCTCTGCTATCAGCATGAGTCACTTCTGGCAGGTTTTCCCTGACACCAAGAGGTAAAAAGGTGACAGGGGAGGGAGCTCCAGCACACAGAAAGTGACTGACAGCCTCAGCTCTATTCCTGTGTGCAGGGGGGTGTATCCCTTCCCTCAAATCAGCTCTCAGAGCTGTAACATCAGCTACCTGTCCCCTACTTTCTGAAAGCTCAGACAAGCGGTATACATTCTGGGCTTCGAACAGCTGTAGAGAAGAGAAGATTGCAGATAAACAAGTACAGCTTACGTAGGAGGATTTATTTAATCCTCTAATACCTTAGGCCAGTCACCTCACTGGGTATATGCAAGTGTTTACAACCACTTTAAGGATCAGGCAGAGGGAAATTTAAGTGTTGGGGAAAACAGGTATTGAAGTGTTAAGTGAGAACTTTGGTTAGTGTTAGGGACAGGGAGGACAGCTGTATTTAAACTTGCTTAAAAGTGAAAACTTTCAAGGCCAAAAATTAATTTACTGGACTAGACAGATGTAGGTGTATGCCGTATTGGTTAAATTGCACACATGAAATAATAAGAACAAATTCTCCATAAGCAAACAGTAAGCATCGGCCATATTGCTTCAGCTGTCAAACTGGGAGCAGCAGCAGCTGTTTGTAGAGCCACTGCAACCCAACTGACATGAATAGGGCTGCCTGCATGAGGACGCATGGCAGGCAACTCAGCCTTCTCCTGGGTATGGGCAACTTGGCTCTCTCATGGGTGTACGGTGTAGTAAACCAATGTATATGCAGCCTTAATGATGTAACACGTTCCAGCTATTGACCTGCTGCTTTAAATTGAAGTGTAATGAGTCATTACTGTGAAGAACCTTTTTTTTTTTTTTTTGCAACCAGTACATTTACATTACTTGCTTGATGAATAAAGATTTCCAGATTCCTCAATTAGCTTGCCATGTACAATTTATATAATGAATACTAAAAAACTATAAGGGTAAGCTACACTGAGATTCAAATAGCCATAACCATTGGTTTGAGCTACAGAAAACAGTAGTATTTTTGGGTTTTTTTTTCCTTACAGTTTTCTGTACAGTCTGTTATATACTGAATTTTCCTTTCCATCTTTAACACCATGATATTAGTGCCGAGTTATCTTACCTTGAGGTATTGCTGTGTGAAGGGATTTTCAGGAAACTCTGGGACAGGAACATTTTTATTCTTTACCTCTGCAAACAGCTTTACCAGCAAATCTGTCAATTCATCCAGAGTTTCTATGATAAAGATAAAAAGGGCTATATTTAATTTTTACAAGACTACCAATGAATATTTGCTCGACAGTAATGTGTAATGACCTTGTGAAGACAAAAGCCTGGTCGAAAAAAAAAAAAAAAAAAAAAAAAAATGGGGAAGGAGTTTTGTAACAAATGATACTCTTGTTAAAGAGTAAATGTGCACAGGACAATAGCGTAAAGGTGATATAAAACCTAACAATGAACTTCTCCTTTTTGCCCCCTCTGGTCCACTAAATATACCACCAAAAGGGTTTTGTTATATCTTGATTTTTCCAGAAATCTTGTAAGCAGACAACTTCCTGGGCTCTCCATTTGTGCACAAGGAGAGGGTAGGGAGACAGGGGGTGGAGGAGATTAGAAGAGGTCGGTTCTTTGCAACCCATCAGAAATGAAGAGGCAGGGCTGACGTGCTTAGAAAATCAGAATGGTGTTGTCACTTTAAAGAGAAGGGTAGAAGTATACTATATCAAAAAGAAGAAGATTATCTGCGCTTAGGTGCAAATCAATGGATATACAGTAACTAACACAAACAAAGCCTGTGATGCGAAGCCCAAATACAAGTGTGGGGGAAAAAAAAAAAAAAAAAAAAAAGGGGAGGGAGGGTGTAGAGTTACAGATTAAAACCTTGTTGTGTCCAATGATACGCAGCATATATATTTGTTAACAAAAAACATCTCAAGCATAAAAACGACACATAAAAATTACAAAGTATTAACATTCTGTAATAAACCAATGTAAAAAAAAAAAAAAAAATATTCAGCATGCACTTACATATTCAAATGTCACTTTTGACGAAACGCATTGGGTGGGGCTGACTGGAGTGACGTCATCACACACTGATGTAAGATTGGATGAGTGGAACGGATAAGAGGCAGCCCATAAGAAGACTGTAGATTATATAAGCTGCATAGCCTTTTTGGCTTTTAAAATTTTGTGTTTAATTTTATATTTAATTTTTAAATGTAGTTTTACACTAGGAAAGTGCTTCTGGCCTTTTCTCTCAGAGTGTCACGGAGGTTGTGTGTCCTGAGCTGTGGTGATCCATTGGCTGAGGGGTGGCCTCATTAACCCTACATTTGCGGTATGACCATTTCTAACATAGATGGTCACGATTATCTGGTAAGTAGCTGATCATTCTTGTTTTCCCCCTTGGGTGAAACTGACTATTAGAGCACTTGGTCTGCTGTTTGGTGCGATTACTAGAAGATTTACTTCTCTACAGGATTTCCTTTTTTTTGCACATGCAAATTTGGATATTTTCTATTCTCTTAAGGACTTTTTCTCTTACTTTTACTTTTTTTTTTTTTTTTTTTTTTTACTTTGAGACACGGATTATAAAGCGTTTAATGTGTTGGTGATGTAAAAAATATTCAGCATGCGCTTAGTCAAATATCACATCGGTTTATGTTACAGAGTGTGAATACCCTGTAATGTTTTTGTGTCACTTTTATACTGAGATGTTTTTTTTTTTAACACATTTGCAGATATATGTTGTGTACCATTTTACACAACACTGTTTTAAATTGGAGCGCTACACCCCCCCCTTTTTTTTTTTTTTTACAGATGTATACTATATACCAGGCATATCAACGGTTACTTTTCTGTATTTGCAGATTGCTTATAGGAATAAAACATGGGGAAATGTGCATATATTCCAGAGATGAATGAAATATTGTGTGTGTGTGTGCTCATAAATAAAAATTATTTTTATTATTTAATTCACACAACAAATTATTTTTCTGTCCTATAAGTTATCTTTTTTTTTCAAGTTTTTTTAAATACTTTTAAATACTGTGTTCTCTTGCTGCTTTGTGTCCTAACTCTGCAGGGCTCTTTGTTGGCATAACTGAGAAAAGGCCACACCCCCCTCATCACAACTGTCCTCACCCAGACTTATACTGCAGAGGAAGTGTTGGGTTGAGATAGACCAGGTATGTTATATTATCAAGTGCACTAGGTCATATTCTGTTGCAGAGTCATATTTAACAGAAAAAAGGAGGCAAAAACAGTGGTTCATACGCTGTCAGACTAAAAATCAATTTCTGTGACTAACTGGGCTAGCTTTACCTGCTGATGGTGCAAAAATATCTTATATAAAAAAAAAAAAAAACAACTTGTGAGTTGCACAAATATATCTAAGGAATTATCTATTTAGCTGCAGTTTCTCTTTAAACAATGAACAACATGAAACACTTTCACTTAAAAGGAATGTGTCCCAGCAACAAAAACGTGTACATAACACTCTATAAAAAGCCTATTGCTATTTGATATCAAATTTCTTTTGGAATTGTACCAGATGCTAATAGAACTAGCACAACTGCTGCTATGTGTAGAAGAGCCATCATCAGACCCATCATTGAGCTTCAACTTCAAAATATGTAGGGGGCTGAGTATCCTGATTGACATTATGCATCACATTACATCTATGCATGAATTTACATATACAATAAAAAAAAAAAAAACCACACAACTTCAGAGTGCTGCTTCAAGAACCTTGCAGCTGCAAGCTGCATCCGCAGAAGACTTTTCATCCACCTGGTAGAACTTTGAAAAAGTAATAACAGAGGACCAGGTTGAAGCCTTAAACATGGTGTCAAAATGCCCAGGAAACGTCCACTGATCTGGCAGAAAGTACAGGAGATTTGTCCTTGAGAGTGTAAACTCTAGCAATCTGATTTGTAGACCACCTTGCGAAGGACAAGGAAGCAGGGTATCCCTTGCAAGGTCCCAAGGAAAGGACAAACAGGGAATCCATATGTCTGATAGAAGCTTAGAAGCTGTAGCTGTAAGGCAAAATCTAATGGCTCTGTCAAGGCAATAAGGAGATATTTGCTTTGGAGCAAGGCAATCAGATGGAAGACAGATACCACCTTGATAAGAAACGATGGTCTTGGGCGAAAGACAGCTTTATCTTTGGGAAGTATGAGGGAAAAGCTCCTTACAAGAGGGACACCAACTCAGAGACATGTCTGACAAACATGAAACCAAAGCAAACAAAAAGGCCACCCTGCAGGAAAGGCTGTCTAAGGGAATAACCATGGTGGGTCCAAAAAATGGTTTATGCCTTGTTTGGGTACAGGCACAACTATGCCAAGACAAAAGATGGTTCAGGGCATTCTGCAAATCTGACTGTTCTTGAACAGAGTCTGGTTGATCCGAGTGAAAGTGGTGAGGGGTAGAGTTTTTGAACACGATTTTGTACCCCCTTGAAACCACTGACTAAACCCAGCTCAATCATTCTGTGACTGTAGCAAACTGTAGCAGATGTCCTCTGCCTCTTAGGAGTGAGGGTGTCCCTATACCAGGAAGAGGTCTTCGAGGAAGAGTTGGTGGGTTGTGAGGCCCAAGTCTTATGCTGAAAGGAAGAACTGAACTTGGGATTAGACGTTGAAGCTTGGGTAGCACAATTAGGTGCTCTATGTTTTGCAGAGGTAGAGGCACCTGAGGAGGGGGGTTTGGAATCGCCCACTGTGGGAGTAAATCTTTCCCTAATTTGACATCTTTTATGAATTGGTTAAGTGCCTCCCAAAACAGATGGCTTGCTTAAATAGGCATGTATGTGCGAGAAATTTCCTTTACAGGAGGCTTCACCTGTCTAAGCTTTTTGCCACAAGATTCTGCACATAAGAATTGAGATTAGGGCCATTCTGGAAATTTTTCTCATGACGTTTTAGGGCATGCACACAAAATAGCAGAGAAGGTAATTGCTGTAGTTGCTCTGTTAAAGCACAATCCTGGAAAAACAGGGTCATTATGGTTGATCATTGCCCTAGTCCAGTTAGCTGCAGTTTGACATAATGAAATTGTAGCAAGCACTAGTTGCAGGGCTGGGCCTGCAAAATTAAAGTGAGCCGTTAAAGAAAGACTTTCCCCTTTTCAAAAAATTACAAATATACAAATCTTTGGCTAAGATCAAGTGTAGTATCTGTTCTTATCAGTGTCCAGTAGGGGTGCTCCACCATCATTCCTGCTTGCAGGGATGTTTGGTTGTATAGTACTCCTGCTGGTTAATACAGGGCAACAGAACAGAAACCGAGGTGCCCACAGGCAGGCAGTTGGGGCCATGGAGTAATTCCCCCCAGGAACGCCAGAGGGGCCCAGTTCCTCCTGGTTTGAACAGATCTACCTTGTCTGGACAGGGGCCGGGGAGGCAGAGAGTCCGCGGAACAGTGCCCTCTGAGTGGTCGCCTCAGGGGTGCTCTTAGTAGCACATGGGGGATGGGATCCCACGTGTGAAACTTGCACATGGTCACTGATCCAAATTACTTTTTCTGCACTGAGCCTTTTAGGGCTAGGCCTTTTAGCTAAGTCCAGGGCAATTTTTATGCTACAGGCCTCAGGGCCTAGCCAGTGCACAATTGCACGGCCACTTTTTTATTTTTATTTATTTAATTTTTTTCTCCCACGGTTTGTCACTTTTCACTTATGTGTGTGTTTTTTTTCTCACGGATGGTAGGGTGTGGATCCTCGGGCCTACCCTGAAGTCTAGGGGGAGGATGTGTGGCCTTCCCTTGGGGCTGGCTTAGGCCAGCCACAAGGAAAGGGGTCTGCCAGGCCTTTTGGCTAGCTGGACCACATAGGAACCTTAGTCCCCGTCAGAAGCTTCGTGCCCCGGGGGATCAGGGTAGAGGTCCTACCCCTTCGGGGGATGGACCAAGCACACCCCTAAGTGCACTTTTTTGTGTTGGTTTTGCACTAGCACATTTTTTGTTCACTTACGGGTTTTCGTTTTTCGCACTTCCGCGGACTTCAAAAAAAAAAAAAAAAAAAAAAAAAAAGATTGCCAAGACCCTCAAAGTGAGCTGCAGCACGGTGGCCAAGACCATACAGCGGTTTAACAGGACAGGTTCCACTCAGAACAGGCCTTGCCATGGTCGACCAAAGAAGTTGAGTGCACATGCTCAACGTCATATCCAGAGGTTGTCTTTGGGAAATAGACATATGAGTGCTGTCAGCATTGCTGCAGAGGTTGAAGGGGTAGGGTGGTGGGGGGGGTCAGCCTGTCAGTGCTCAGACCATACGCCGCACACTGCATAAAATTGGTCTGCATGGCTGTCGTCCCAGAAGGAAGCCTCTTTTAAAGATGATGCACAAGAAAGCCCGCAAATAGTTTGCTGAAGACAAGCAGACTAAGGACATGGATTACTGGAATCATGTCCTGTGGTCTGATGAGACAAAATAAACTGATTTGGTTCAGATGGTGTCAAGCATGTGTGGTGGCAACCAGGTGAGGAGTACAAAGACAAGTGTGTCTTGCCTACATCAAGCATGTTGGTGGGAATGTCAGTCTGGGGCTGCATGATTGCTGCCGGCACTGGGGAGCTACAGTTCATTGTAGCGAACCATCAATGCCAACATGTATTGTGACATACTGAAGCAGAGCATGATCCCCTCCCTTCAGAGACTGGACCGCAGGGCAGTACTCCAATATGATAACGACCCCAAAACACACCTCAAAGACGACCACTGCCTTGCTAAAGAAGCTAAGGGTAAAGGTGATGGACTGGCCAATCTAAACCCTATTGAGCATCTGTGGGGCATCCTCAAATGGAAGGTGGAGGAGCGCAAGGTCTCCAAAGGCAACCTGTGAAGCTCTGGTGAACTACATGCCCAAGAGGGTTAAGGCAGTGCAGGAAAATAATGGTGGCTACACAAAATATTAACACTTTGGGCACAATTTGGACATTTTCATTTAGGGGTGTACTCACTTTTGCTGCAAGCAGTTTAGACATTAATGGTTGTGTGTTGAGTTATTTTGAGGGGACAGCAAATTTACATGTTATACAAGCTGTACACTCACTACTTTACATTGCAGCAAAGTGTCATTTCTTCAGTGTTGTCACATGAAAAGATATAATAAAATATTTACAAAAATGTGAGGGGTGTACTCACTTCTGTGAGATACTGTATATACTGCTAATGAGAAAAGGTATTTAGCAGTCTATAGTTACTAAAATTGCATTTCCATGTTCTCCGTGAGACCAGATATAGTGAATGCAGGGTCCTGGGTTTAGTAACACTTTAAATAGTGTTTTTTGGTTTGTGGTGCTCAGATGCAGCATAGTTCCGCTTTAAAGGAATGTTAGGGTCAGAAACGTTTCCAGTCCTGTTCTTCCACTGATCTCAGGTTACCTCAGTGCACATGCACTTTTCTACTCTTTGATTACAACAAGGTATAAACAAATTCCCCCTACTAAATAAGCATTACTAATTATATGGTTGTACTTCCTATACATTTGATGCTACCTACATGGGCAAGTTCTCCTGTCTTGTTTTGAACTAGGTAACCCACAACAACCAATCAAATCTTTGGTAAAAAATATATGGTTGGTTTATCCTGCACCGAGTCCTATTCCTTACTTTGGAACAGAAGATACATTTTAAAAAACAAACTCATAGCAAGTAGAGTGTTCTTTCTTCTGATAGAAAAAAAAAAAAATTCCTAGCATTTTTCTTTTTACACTGCCAGCTGCAAATGGGCAATATACACATTCAGCCTCTGTAAGAGTCAAGATTAGATTGATGTACAAGAGTACATCATTGGTGGAAGACACTGGCTCCAGAAAAAAAAAAAAAGGAGAAGATAACAGGAGCATTGGAACACGCAAACCTTGCATCTCTGGAGGAGGGAAAACTCAAAAGGTAAGTTTGCCAACAGGTGCAATTATGCATAGATGCACATTATTGTAAATGCCACCACACCCTGAGTACACTAATGTTCAACTTCGGGCTTTTCAGTTCACTAGATTATCAAATTAAGAAAAAAAACCCTATGTTTTTATCACATTACACAACAGATTCTCTCTCTATCCATTCAGTCATATCCGACCCTTGGCGATTGCGTAGTTCATCACTTGTGACTTTTTCCATGAATTATTTTACAGGGTAGGTTGCCAGGTCTTTCCCCAACCCCTACCATGCAGGAAATCCTGCATGGCCAGGGATGAAACTAGGGCAATTTAGACAGTAGCCAATTAACCTACCAGCATGTCTTTGGAGTGTGGGAGGAAACCGGAGTACCTGGAGGAAACCCACGCAAGCACAGGGAGAACATGCAAACTCCATGCAGGAGGCGCCATGGTTGGTAATTGAACCCATGACCCATTTACTGCACGGCAGACGTGCTAATTACTAAGCCACTGTGCCGCCCGTACACTACAGATTATATTGCAATAAATACAGACCTCATAGAAACCTGTAAAGCAAATATGTATAAAAAGGAATCTCTTACCTCTGCCTAGCACACAAATAGACATGAGGTTTGATGAATAATTAGTAGAGTGAAACTTTAACAGTTCTTCACGGACATCCATTCCATCCTGTGTAGGCCGTGCTTCAAGAGTGAGCTTATTGCCTGGAAAGAAATAAGTTATTTAAACTAAAACTGTACTATTATTGGGGTGATTTGTTTTCATATTAAATGTTGTAACATTTACATAAAATTTTATTCTGGTTATCCAACCCTCTGACCTCAGATTTCAGGTATGGTAAAAAGAACAAATTATGCATCACTAACCTTTCTCTGGCAGCACATCAAGTGTTTGTACACAGGTTTGCATAGCTACTGAGTATAATGTATAGTTAAAAAGCAGCAGACTTAAAGGATAACTATATACAGTATTTAATACAGCAGGGCATGACAAATTTGCTTTGAATTTAGGAGCCAGCTAAAAAAGTTAGGAGCCTTTTTCCATACGGCTCAGCGCCTATTCTCCAGATTTATTTGGAAAAGTAGCTTCCCTACGATGAGTTTGTCTAAATTGTGCCAGCCGAAGAGTAAGGGAGGGATGGGAGTGCCAGACCTTGAAACTTATCATAGAGCCGGTCTACTCACTAGAATGGTGGATTGGCACATACATGCACAGATGAAGGATTGGGTTGGACTGGAACAGGAGATTGCGGATGGAGTTTTGGTGTCCATACCTTGGTTGCCCGCATCAGCTACTGATAGACGTTTGGTGAAACACCCGCTCATTGGAGCAGTCTTGTTAGGTTTTAGAAAGGTCTGTAGGGCTGGGAAGGTTTCATCTACACCGAGTCTGATGACTCCTGTTGCAGACAATCTGGCCTTCCCCCCGGGCCTACAGCCTTCCTTTCGTAAGATTTGCATTGACACCTCCCTGACCAGAACTGGAGATTTCTTTCAAAAAGGTAAATTTCGTTCAAGAGTGGGTTTAGCCCATAAAGATTCTCCACCACCCTTTCAATGGTGGTCTTACTTACAGATTAGACATTTTCTGCTGGGTTCATTATATTTTGAGATGTGTGGTAAGACCCTTACTTTTTTTGAGACACTTTGCCTGTCCAGGGAACCACGGAGGCACTTGATCTCTTTGATATACCTTAATTTGCAGCAGGAAGGGTCGAACAATGTGGTCGGACTCCTTGACAAATGGGAGAAAGAATTGGATATAACCTTGATTCCAGAGCATAGAGAGCAGGCTCTTAAGACAATACACAATGGCACAGTGAATGTATCGGTGCAGGAACATAATTTTAAAATCCTTACACGTTGGTACAGAACTCCTCACCTCTTGCACAAGATTTACCAGACTATTCCCGATTTCTGTTGGAGATGTCAGCAAGCATTGGGCTCGATACTCCATATATGATGGGAATGTCCTGTACTGAGTATATTCTGGCAGAGAGTGCATGATATAATTGTTCAGGTCACCTCCTATCAATTGGACTTTAATCCTCTTCAGTACTTGCTTCTCTGTTTGCCTTCGTTGGGTCGGAGGTACCATGGATCACTAGCTATGCACTTGATAGTGGCGGCGAGGATGTGCATTCCCCGCTATTGGAAAAAGACCTAAGTGCCCTCTCTGAGGGAATGGTTCTTGAGGATTGACAAGACAGAGGAGATGGAGGAGTTGATCGCCACGGCTCATGATAGATACTTGTCGTACTATAAAACTTTGGCTTGCTGGATACACTATAAACTTTATGAGGATTACCGCAAAATTTTTGTGGGATGAATAAATTTATGTACCCCTTTGAAGTCAGGTTCTCCTGGAGATAGGCAGCATCTTTCTTACCATGATGGACAGCTTGAATGGTCTGGATGGAATTCCCCGGGGTGGAGTTGATCCCTACTCCTCCAATGGGGATGTGGGAAGTGGATAACTTCCCCTTTGGTCCTGTTCCCCCCCCCCCCCCCCTTTTTTTTTTTAATTTTTTCCCTCTCTCTTTTTCCCCTTCTCTCTCTCTTTTGTTATCTTTCTATTGTTAGTTTTCTGGTTCGTCTTTCTACTCCATACTTGTTTATTTTTTTGTAGTATAGCTTGATGATCACATTGATGAATGCTGTCTTCCCTCCGCACTAGTTTCATTATTGGATATTTTGTTGCTCTCCAGTCTTTTGATATATCAGTTTTTATTGGTGTGTCATGTTGTTAGTAAAACCAAGTGCCTCATGTAACACAAGTAACCTGACGAATTTTCCATAATTAAACCCCACAGGTTCAATGCTTTTGTATTGTTTATGTCGGGAATAGTTGGGAACATGCTGTTCAAACATTTTTTATGTTGAGCCCTTGACTATATGTTTTGTTCAATTAGATATGTCCAGATGGTGCTAGAATGCCTTATGAGGGAATGATTATTTCTATTCCAATATAGTTTGTTCTTGATGCAATTATCCTTGATTGTGTGTTTTTCTATTGTTAGTAGTATGCAAGTCTTATTTTCAATAATAAAAATTGATTATGGAAAAAAAAAAAAAAAAAAAAAAAAAAAAAAAAAAAAGTTAGGAGCCAAACTTCAGTACCCTATATTTTCTTTAGGCGACACTTTAAGTCCTCATGCACACTGGACGTTTTGAGAACGCTGGTAACGTTAGCTGTGTAAAGCCATGTTAAAAACGTGAGTTTTTCCGTGTTTTTTTTAGCACTTTTGCATTAGCATTTAGCTGTGATTAGCTTCGGTTTCCCACGTTTTCTTGGACGAAAAAAAAAAATATAAAATTTTTTGGTCAAAAAAACTCCAAAAAAAACCGCCAGTTTTCAGCTATAGAGCATTTTTACAGCGAAAAAAAACTCCTCTAAAAGACCCACCAATCCTGGGGTTTTTTTGCAGCCAAAAAATGTTGATTACAGTCTATGTCTGCATGGACACATAGGATAACATGCTAGTGGGTTTACTAGCTGTAGAAAAAACCCCCCAAAAAAACGGCAAAAGCCAGAAACAGCAGCTGTAAAAACGTCAAGTGTGCATGAGGGCTAAAAGTCCCTATAAGTCATCAGTTTAGTATTAGGGAGGAGGTCTGGTGCTAGAGTTATTGCTCTCATTCTGGTGTGTGCGTGATATGTAAAGTGTGCCGCAATCGATTTTTTTTAATGCACCTACGCATTAAAGCATGCATTTACGTTTGTACGTGCATATATGTGGAGGTGAGAGGGCATCAAATTTTTGTTTCAGATTTATGTGCTTGGGTGTAACTTGAATTTTTTCTAATTAAAAACTTAATTTTTTTGTTACTCACCATAAAATCCCTTTCTCCGAGTTCATTGATGGACATAGCCTCTTCTTTATCCATTACCAAATAACGTTTTATAACTTTACAGTAGTACAACAGTAGGCAGAAAAAAAAAAATAAATAACTTGGCACCTCCTATGGGCAGTCCTTTCTGAGCATAAAACCCTTCTCTGCTATAGGCCTCCAGTCCATCACTAGGAGAAGGAGTGTCAAAGGAGAAACTCCATAGAGGGGTGGGCGCTGAACTCTGAGAAAGGGATTTTATAGGAGTAACAAAAAAAATACATTGCAGGCACAATGTGGGGTGGCGGTACCTCTCCCTCTGGACACTGAACTGTGGGTGGTCCCTCCTTCTGCAAAAGGGGGGCGCGCCAACTGGACCGCACCTGGTCCAAATGCCCCCCTGCTTCCAGGCACAGCGCAATTCTCGGACCACTCCTGGAAGGGCTTCTGAGAGTCTCCCCACCGGAGGAAACACAGTTACGGAGGCTGGAGTGGGGAGGCCGTACTTTTATTTTGGGTGGAGGCATTTCCTCAGGTGGGGAGGAGCTGATGTCTCTCAAGGTGCTGTCCTGAAAGACGGGGAAGGGAAAAATTGGTTTGGGGACTAGAGGCCAGTTCACACCAGAACGATCTACGAGAAAAGAGCGCTCGACATGCATTTCCCGCATTGCAGGCGATTGCATTGCCCTTGCGATTTGCATGTAGGTGCCAATGCATTGTTAACAGCATCCCAAACACATCGCAAATGCAGTGTGTTTGAAGGCACCAAATTGTATTCAAATGAATGGGATGCAAAAATCACACTACATGTTTCCCTCAGTGCTAACCTCTGCACCCCAATCTGACCCTGCCCACCTTTGGACCCCAGAACCCTTCTGCTCACCTTAGTACCCCTGAACCCCCCTCCTTCTTGCCTTCATATCCCTGAACCCACCTTTCTGCTCGCCTTCACACCCCAAAAACCCCTTCTCTGCTCGCCTTCACACCCCAAACCCCCCTCTCTGTTCTCGTTCGCGTCCACACCCCCTTTTCTGCTCGCCTCCACAAACCCCCTCTCTGTTCGCTTTCACCTCCACACCCCCTTCTCTGCTCGCCTCCACACCACAAACCCCCTCTCTGCTCGCCTCCACACCACAAACCCCCTCTCTGCTCGCCTCCACACCACAAACCCCCTCTCTGCTCGCCTCCACACCACAAACCCCCTCTCTGCTCGCCTCCACACCACAAACCCCCTCTCTGCTCGCCTCCACACCACAAACCCCCTTCTCTGCTCGCCTCCACACCACAAACCCCCTCTCTGTTCGCGCTCACCTCCACACCCCCTTCTCTGCTCACCTCCACACCCCCTTCTCTGCTCACCTCCACACCCCCTTCTCTGCTCACCTCCACACCCCCTTCTCTGCCACCTCCACACCCCCTTCTCTGCTCACCTCCACACCCCCTTCCTGCTCACCTCCACCCACCCCCTTCTCTGCTCACCTCCACACCCCCTTCTCTGCTCACCTCCACACCCCCTTCTCTGCTCACCTCCACACCCCCTTCTCTGCTCACTCCACACCCCCTTCTCTGCTCACCTCCACACCCCCTTCTCTGCTCACCTCCACACCCCCTTCTCTGCTCACCTCCACACCCCCTTCTCTGCTCACCTCCACACCCCCTTCTCTGCTCACCTCCACACCCCCTTCTCTGCTCACCTCCACATCCCTCAGCTTATGCTCATCAGATGACGTTTTCACTGAAACTGTATATGCTGTCATAACCTCTGATACTGTGCATCGCGACACAGCAAATAAACTGGCAACTTCAGTCACAGAGGCACCTACTAAATGGGCTCCAACAATTTTCCCCCTTTGAAGCCCAGTAAGCTCTGACATGACTCCGTATTACTATCAGCGCACACAGTAAATGATGAAAGTGAGGCTTACCACTTATTAGCTAGGTGTCTCATCACACAGCGGAAGCAAAAGAATGTTACATCACTTCCACTTTCAACGCGAAACGTTGTTATTTTAAAATCTGCAAATCATGCAGTGTTTCCAATTTTTTGTCTAACCCCTGTGTATGTAATATTTATTAATCAAACAAATATAATTTTTACCTATTTTTATACATTGCCAGCATGGCTTTTCTAATATGTCCAGCTCCATATCAGTATTCTGACAGTGGGACTCCTCTCCGATCAGCTTTTGTCGAAGCAGGAGGACAAACACAGATCAGAATTTGGCCAGTCCTTGCTGAACCGGCTGATTTCTGATCTGTTTGTACCCAGTTTTACTACCCTGGGGCAACTGTGAACTTTTACAACCCAGAACTTGAAAACCTTCCCTAAAAGTGATAAATATCTGTTGCGGTTTTAAAATTTGCCCCTTTTAATTACAACCCTCTTAAAAACAAAAGATATGTGTATATACCCCTAATGCACAGCCTTCTAGGTAACCAAACTAATGTATCCACAAAAAGCTGCAGGAGATTAGGAGGAGAAAGCAGAGAGAGGCCATTAGGATACTACCAACCTGTTCCAAATTTACTGAATGGATGTTTGGGGTTCCCAGTGACTTTCTCCAGCTGAGCAAGCCTCCAGGCATCATTCATCAGGTTCTTCTCATGTTCAGAATCCACAGCATTTACTTCACGATCCTTACAGTTCTCATCAAACAAAGGAGCCTGGAAAAACTGGGAAAACCTGTAGAGTAGGAATATAGATGTCAATATAATAACTAAGATTACTGTATCTAGTCAGCATTGAATTCCTGCAGAACAGCCAACATGCAAAAATTCACCAATTTTACTAAGGTTCAGTGGCAGCAAATTCTAAGGATAAAAGGTCTCTCCAAATGTATCTACTGTATAGCTAAAGAAATGGTCTCTCTTTCTAAAAGGAATCTCTGGAAACAGAGAAAGATCTGTGAACATGGAAAGTGATGATCTGATATACTTTCACTGGAGGTTTCTCAAGCTTTAAAGTGTTACTAAACTCAGGACCCTGCATTCACTATATCCGGTCTTCCACAATACATGGAAATGCAATTATTTTAGTAAATATAAACTGCTAAATACCTTTTCTCATCAGTATATAGCAGTCTTGTGACTTCTATCAGTGTCCAGCAAAGCACCTGTTAAAGCTTGCAGGAGTTTTCATTCTCCTCTGACTATCCTGTGAGGCTGCATAACCCTTGACCCTCAGTACAGAGCTTTAAAGTCACTCTGCACATGCTCAGACAATCAGCAGATGGATTGGAGACAGTAGAAAAAGGGGAAGGTCAGAGAAGACCAGATCAAGCAGCCTTTTCACACAATGCAGAGGATTAACCTCTTAGGTTATACAGTGAGTTTAACAAGCATGCTTTACTGCATATACAGACTGATTTTACTTTTGTGGGTTTAGTAACATGTTAAGGGTCAGTTCACCTATTACTGATATTTATCATTTCTCAAGTGTTTTCATGGAGTACAATGGTGAGAACTCCTCACAGGAGATTCCAATTTTTCTTCCAGCAAAGGAGTCTCATGTCTCGAGCTGTAATAGTAAAATAGGGAATCTTTTAGCCGCAACAAAAATCAGTGAGACTATATATTTCTGCATTAATGGATAGGTTCACCTTTTTGGGCAGAATTTCACTTTCCATAATAAATAGAAGCGTTTTCTGGCCCAGCCATCCCTGTAATGTCTGGCCCAGCCATCCCAGTGTGCTTACCTCTCACTTACCTTATCCACAAGAGGTTTAAAATATTGTCAGTTTTTTTGAATTTTTAAAATGATTTTTAGATTCTATTACTTCCTGCAGATCATCTCCCAATATTCAGTTCCTGTAGGCCATCTCCCAGAAGCCTTCAATTCCTTTCTTGTTGCATCACAGAAGAGGGTGTGATAGGGTGTGTTCACCACTCTGGACCACACCTCCCTCATTACAATACTACCTTTCACCCACTTTCTATACAATCTGACTGTACAATCTCCTTTAGATCTCCCATCAGCTATGTAGTACAAGGGCCTGTCTGATTTGATGCAAATTGAACTGATTGTTCAGGTGTGTCCTATTCCACGGTTCTGGTAAATCTAAAAGGAAATTGTACAGAGATTGTACAATCATATTGCACAGTGTTTGGCCATCTTTATACAAGAACATGGGAGGGAGCGGACGAAGACACTCAGTTGTCAGGCCCTGTTCACATCTCCATGTAGTCAAAACACCCAAAACAAAAGCAAATGTGAGTTTTCGAGTGTTTTCACTCGTCATGCATTGGGCTGCCCTACACGCAACAATTGCCCCAGACAAACTACAGAAGTTTTTCTGGTGCAGAACATGGTGTGTTACCTCAGTTTTTTGTGCGTTCGCTACACATGGGGTGCTTTCAACATGTAATGACAACACAAACACGATGCACATTTGCAGCGTGTTTCTGAGACACACGGCAAAGTACGCATTTCCTTTCATTCGGAAACACACAGATGTGAATGGAGCCTCAATGTTCTTGTGTAAACACACCAATTTCACTTTCAGGCCCCATTCACATCTTGGAGTAGGGGGAGTGCATGTTTTTTGGCTCGTTTTTGCAGAGACACACATAATGGGCTGCGCTATACATATCAAAGTAGCTTATAAGACATTTTGGTGCGATGTGGGTTGTGAGTTTTTTACTGCGAGTTTTGCTGCATTTGTCACTCGTCTTTTCACTTGGCAAAATGTGCGCTTGTTTGTGTTTGGTGTGTTAATTAATGGCACCAAAAGCGCAACTAGTTAATTTTAGGTGGATAAAGGTGGCCATACACTATACAATCTGATTGTACAATCTCCTTTAGCATTACCAAAACTATACCATAGGAGTACACACCATCTAGCCAATCACTCTGTATCCAATTAGGCAGGTCCTTGTACTACATAGTTGATGGAAGATCTAAAGGAAATTGTACAACCCAACTGTATACTGTATGGTGAGCTGTACAGAACTAAGGACACACATCTCCAGTTTTTAATCCTACAGCTCTATCCACATAGCCCATTATCTGATCGCTCAGGACACTCTGCTAAATTAACGATTTATGCAAGATGAAATTAACATAGGAAAAAAAAAAAAACCCGATGCCTGCATATTTAGTGAGCTATCCTACAGCTGATGAAATCCTTCCTACATACCAGAAAGTGGTAAAGCTTTCTATGAAATTCAGAAATTCAGTAAGGGCTAATGCAAGGCCCTGTTCTCAAAATCAAAGAAAGCTTTTATTTTTCTACAACAGAGGTACATCAATGGTGCATTGGTACATAAGGGGAGCTGGAATTTAGAAGGAAAAAAAAAGTGAATTTAGCCTTTAAAGGAAAAATTATGCAGGGTGAAGGATACCCCCCCCCCCCTTTCATAATTGACTTGCCAAGCAGGTACAGCTTGGAAGTTGGACGCAGCTTCTGCATTCATTACAGACCTGTCAGATATTAAACTTTACAATGCATAAGGTGTTATTTGATTATTTTAATCAAAATGTCAATATTATTATATGAAGTGAATACTTGCTTAAGTAATTTGGGTTTTATATTACTATATTCGATTTCATATACATATATATTTTATCTATATAAATTTTTTTTAAACAATTAAGATATATATTGGTATATCTTATGGATATTATGTTTTCAACATTATAACTAGATTTAAATCTATGCAGCCTTATATCTCCAGCCAAACCATTTAGTCTGATAACTGTTATAGTTTGCACCGGAGTTGTTGTGCAATAATTTTTACTGCAGTAAAAAATTATTTTAATTTCAATTGTCTGGGGAATTCTATTTTAAAATATGCCCAAAGCAAATTTCAGCTTTAAGTCAATGGTTTAGCTGGGTATATATGACAAAGTAGACAAAATAGTGGAACATTGACCTCGGATAGATTTAAAGCTTATTGGATTGCCCTGTGTATGGTATTCTAAATCAATTCATGCCAAGGCACACGTTGAGCTTTGAATATATCTGGTTGTAGAGAAATCATATGACAACAGCTATGCAAATTGACCACATGTTGCTTTGTTACTCAGATTTTCCTACACTGCATTTTTAGATAGTCCTAATTCACTAATATTTGAAAATAATCGCTGGTTGGAATCTCTAACCATTATTTTTAAATTCGATCATTGTACTGTTATTTTGATTGCTTTATTATTTATCATCACCTACTAATAGTTCATTACCATTTTTCACCGATTTTTATTATAAATAAATATTTCTTTTGCACACTGTTGCTTTTTATTTCGTCTTCAAATTAATCCGAATTCTTTATTTGCACTAACAGTTGATTTGTTAAAATTAGTAGGGAGTCTCCTTAATTCCATTTTATGATTTCATAAATTATATACGGATTATTTTCTCAGAGGTAAAGTTCTAACAAGTCCTTAGATACCATATCCTGCACCCAAGCATCGAAATTGCAGGTTGTCCAAGTGTTCGCTTTCCAGAGTGGGGGACATCTGGTAAACTTTGTGGAGGCACACTTTCATAAAGTGGAAGGTTTGTCTAAATATTTTGTAGACCGAGTGCCAGACCTTATGGGTGGACTGGGAGCTAGTTTGTAGGGTTTTGACGAGGAGGTTGAGGAATGAGGAAATGAAAAGATGTTTCTTAACATTCTGAGATGGAGAAGACTGTTCCTCAGGTTTCTCCAACTAAGGAAGATGGGAGCTCTCACCACCAATAGCATCCTTGATGCTAGTCGGTCCAAAAGAGACACTGTCCCTCAAACGCCATGAGATCAAAAAAAACTTCTTGCACAGAGGTGTGACCAGCAGCTCAGCCAAGAGATTCCCATACATACATGAAGCACATGCAAGAGTTGAGATGGGAGGATTCCAGAAGACTGGCACAACTGAAACTTAAAGCTACAGCAATCTGCTCCAGGCAATCAATAAATCAAGGGATCAGCCACTGCAATGGTTTGATCAAGTGATTTTGACCAATCAGTCATGGTTTGACAGAAGTAAAATCACAGCCTGGATCTGGTAAAAACTAGGACCTGCCAGAGAGAACAGGGCTGCAGAAAGGGCTTCTAACCGCCTATAGGTTGGGTCTTTAAGACTGGTGCCTCTTCTACTAGAATAGTAAAGCACCTTGTAAAGGTGGCACACTACTGAAATCCACAGTGGGAAGACTACTTTGGCCCAAAAGTCTCACAAAAAATAGGAAATTAATATGCGCCTGGGATGTTCTATTCTCTGTAGAGAAAGAGTTGGAAACGCAGGTGCAAAGGGAAAGCCTTTGCGGCCTTAAAGAGTTTTAAAGGACCCAGACTGGAGACAGCACTGGCACTAATTTTGGAATAAATTACATAAAACGGACTAAGCTTATGAGTCAAGAACTGGAGCAACTCAGAATCATAGTTTCTGCGGTTGATGGCTCAGATTTCTCAAAAGAGGATGCAGGAGCAGGCCTGTGCTTTCTGCTATCAGTAAGCAAATGTCTGGGTGCTTTTGGCCATAAAGTCTAGTGTGACTATAATAACCCCAGCCAAAAGGGCAGAGCATGTGCACAGCACTGTACACAAGGAGGAAAACTATATATATATATATATATATATATATATATATATATATATATATATATATATATATATATATATATATAAATAATATTGGTGCATTTTAATGTATATAATCATCTCGTGGTTTTTATGTTAAAGTGTTACTAAACCCACAACAGTAAACACAGTCTGTACATGCAATAAAGTATGCTTGTTATACTCACTATGGAACCTACAGGTGTTAATCCTCCACATTGTGTAAAAAGGTTGTTTTGTCCAGTCTTCTCTGATCCTCCCCTTCTTTTACCATCCTCAATCCATCTGCCATAGTACAGAGCAGAATTGACAAGTCTGCACATGCTCGGTTTGGTGTGTATGCTAGAGGTTTTTGGAAGGGTTCATGTGATCAGCACAAGGCCAATCATCGCTGTCTGGACAGAGGGTAAGGGGTCATGCAGCCCCATAGGACAATCAAGGGAGAATGAAAACTCCTCCTACAAGATTAACTAGTGCTCGACCGGACACAGCCACAAGCCTGCTATACACTGCTGATGAGAAAAGGTACTTACTAAAATAATTGCATTTCCATGTTTGGTGTACTGTGGAAGATCAGACGATCTAATGAATGCAGGGTCCTGGGTTTAATAACACTTTAAGTATCTTACGTCCCTTTCACACGGGCGGACCCCTCAGTGGGGGGGGGGGGGGGGGGGGGGGGAGGGGATCTCTCCACTGATCCCCACTGAGCATGCGGATGACAGGTCCGTGTCCGCTCCGATAATGCAAACTACACCGACACAGCCCGCTGTCCTCTATGGGCCAACTGCCAACCCATCCGATCGACAGAAGGGGAATGGATCCCCATCCATCTTTTTGGCAGATCAGATGTCAGCGGGTATAAATGGACAGATATCCATTTACACAAGGCGCTCCATAGAGGTTCCAATCAGGTCCACCTGAAAAACAGGCAGGGCCAATTGGAATGTCCATGTGAAAGGGGCCTTAGGCACAAATTGTTGATCCAAATCAAGAACAAGGCTGGTCAAATGCACAACCCAGACAGCCAACACACCTCAAAAATAAGTGCCAGACAAACAGGGCAAAGACTGGGAGATACACTATATTGCCAAAAGTATTGGGACACCCTTTCAAATCATTGGATTCAAGAGTCCCTATCATCTCCATGGCCACAGGTGTATAAAATCAAGCACCTAGGCATGCAGGCTGCTTCTACAAACATTTGTGAAAAAATGGGTTGCTCTCAGGAGCTCAATGAATTCAAGCGTGGTATCATGATAGGTTGCCACCTGTGCAATAAGTTCATCCGTGAAATTTCCTTGCTACTAAATATTCCATGGTCAACCGTTAGTGGTATTATAACAAAGTGGAAGCAACTGAGAACAACGGCAACTCAGCCACGAAGTGGTAGGCCATGTGAAATGACAGAGCGGGGTCATCGCATGCTGAAGCACACAGTGCCTGCTGTCTGCAGAGTCAATAGCTAAAGACCTCCAAACTTCATGCGGCCTTCAGATTAGCATAACAGTGTGCAGAGAGCTTCATGGAATGGGTTTCCATGGCCGAGTAGCTTCATCCAAGCCTTACATCACAAAGTGCAATGCAAAGCGTCAGATGCAGTGGTGTAAAGCATGCTGCCACTGGAGTCTAAAGCATTGGAGACCTGTTCTCTGGAGTAACAAATCACGCCTCTCTAACTGGCAATCCGATGGATGTGTCTGGGTTTTGTGGTTGCCAGGAGAACTGTACTTACCTGACTGAATTGTGTCAAGTATAAAGTTTGGTGAAGAGGGGATTATGATGTGGAGTTGTTTTTCAGGGGTTTGGTTTGACCCCCTTAGTTCCAGCGAAGGGAACTATTAAGGTGTCAACATAATTTTGGCCAATTTCATGCTGCCAACTTTGTGGGAACAGTTTGAGGATGGCCCCTTCCTGTTCCAACATGACTGCATGCCAGTGCACAAAGCAAGGTCCGTAAAAACATGGATGAAAGAGTTTGGGGAGGAGGAACTTGACAGTCCTGCACAGAGCCCTGACCTCAACCCAATAGAACACCTCTGGGATGAATTGGAGCAGAGACTGCAAGCCAGGCCTTCTCATCCGACATCAGTGCCTGACCTCACAAATGCACTTCTGGTAGAATGGTCAAACATTCCCATAGACACTGCTAAACCTTGTGGACAGCCTTCCCAGAAAGAGTTGAAGCTGTTATAGCTGCAAAGGGTGAGACAACTCAATATTGAACCTATGGACTAAGACTGGGATGCCATTAAAGTTCATGTGCGTGTAAAGGCAGGTGTCCAAATACCTTTGGCAATATAATGTATCTCCAGAAACCACAACTAGTTACAAAAATGCCTACTGCAGTCCTGCTGTCATGGACCTAGAGCTACTGCTGCAAAGTTCAGAGACCTTCTGTTTAAATTTTATTAGCAAATTTATCGTGACAAGTTCTGCTGAAGCCATTTTAAGCATGAGTGTTTTAATAAACTAGTTTATTAAATATAATATTTGTAGGTGAACAGGTAAAAGATTCATACGTTTACAGTAAATATAGCAATGGGTCAGCAAGAATTTGCATTCGCTTACCTGTCTAGGGCTCCCTCAAGATGCTCATGAGACACGTCAAAATAGTAGTTTGTATGTTCTCCACTAGTAAAGGCGTTGGCACTCCCTGCATGCTCGCTGAGGAACTGGGTATACTCATTTTCTTTGGGGTACTTCTCTGTACCCAAGAAAAGCATATGTTCACAAAAGTGGGCAAGACCTGGGATGTTTTCAGGATCAGACAAGTATCCTATCGAAGAAAAATATATAACAGTATGGATGCGGTTTATTTTTACAGTTCAAAGTTTAACGCCAAACAAAAAGCTAAATACAGAGTTAAAACCTATTCACATTGGAATTGCTTGTATTTTCGTATGTCCAGTGCTGAGATTTACACAGCTGTGGATAAATTACATTTTACTACTGAATTTAAGCAGTACAGTCTGGTTAGTTTCCTGCCTCCAGCCAGTGACTGGGCAATGAAAGAACAGATGAGTTCATCTTCTGCTCAATTGTCATAATCAGCACATAAGCATACAGAACACCTGACCGATTCCTAGTGCTGCCCCTTCCTTTTTCAGCTCAAGTTCTACTTTACAATATGCTGGAATTAAGTCAAATTCAGGTACTTACCCTAGTGGCATTTAAAAATGGATCTGGATTTTAAAGCAAACCTGTGTCTATCGCCCTATAAAAATGGACACCAATTCCTGTGCCTCAGCACTGGTTAAAGAGGCTGCTCATCACAGAGACATGACAGTGGGGAGGACCAGGAAGAAGGAACAGAGGCCAAAGCCTATGGTATCTTTTACATGTCCGGGACCATGTCAGAGAGCCTTAGCTTTTAAAGCAGATGCAAGCAACCTCGGAACCCCAGCTGTGGTGAGATTACAGATACCATCATGCCTCTATCTCTGGGAGTCATTCCGGGGTCTCCAGAGTCTTGAAAGGACTTATGGGACTTGTTTCCACAACAGCTGAAGTGCGGAGGTTGCCCACCCCTCTTTTAAGAGAATCAGACAAGACACAATGGGAAAACATCTGAAGGAGCCTCTGTCCAAGACAGTGGCAGTTACATAGGTTTGCAACAGTGACAGTCACTTAAACAAAACAGTGCTAGGCTTTATTTCCAAGTCATTCATTTATTTAAATGACTGGTTGGTTTAACCTCTGCTGCCTTCTGCCAGTGTGTGTGTTTACAACCACCTGCATTGGTATATTTCAGAAAGCCAACTGACAGTTTTGCATACATTTGCCTCCAATATAAAAGAACACCTGCTACAGATTTTTCTTTTGTCTTTAAAAACAGACATAAACCAAGAACCAGTGCGGACTTACATTATCTCACGCTATATCACACTATAGCAAATTACTTCACAGGACATTAGTCTATTAACCTGTCTTATGCATTTGCCTTTTTTCTTTTTGGTATATCAATCATTGACTTCTTGGGAAGGACCTACTTAGTCCATTCCTTTTCCCTCCTATCCTCAGCTCTTCCTCAATTCTCTCTTCTTTTTGTCTGCTCCCCTCAATTCCTACGTCTTTTTCTTTTCCTTTATGATCTTGTATTCTTTTCTTTCTATTTAACCCATATACATGATAATCACCATTCCATCATTAAACTGGCTATCAGTGAACAAAATGCAACGTGTCTCTATCCTCATATTTCTGGTTATGTTCTACTATACTTTTACACACTTCTCTCCCACTTTATTAGCCTACAAAGCAGACTTCCATTTCTACCGTCCTCACAAACATTGCACGGACAATTTTTTTTTTACAGCTGCTATTAATATTCCTTCATTACATCTCAGGGACCTTGATAATATCAGTATTTAAGTATGTGAATCTCTTATTACCTGCTTTGGTCAAATTGTTGGATTTATTGATAATATTGTTACGTTGCCATGATATACCTTCGGAAGTTATTGTTGGCTGATGTTGTGTATACAATAAAACCCAATAAAAATTCTTAAAAAAACAAAACACAAAAAAAACGGACATGCAAGATCAGTTCAGAGATATGTCTGTTCAACAGCACTACGTCTGGCTAGCAAAAGGAGTAACATGTCAACTCTAAATAGTGTATGGAAATATCGAGGCTGCGCTACCCAATGACGGGGGGGGGGGGGGGGGGGGGGAAGAGAACCAGACCCCTATACAATGATGAACAAAAAAAATTGGACGATGATGAATGACTGAGATAGGTGCAAGATATATAAGTACAAAAACTCGTGATACAATAAGTAATAAATATAGAAATATGAATAAAGCGAACATGGGAGAATAAATCAAATGACACATGGAAACTAATCGTGATCCAATCTGTAAAGAAAAAAAATCCAACAACCACACACGTATGTATATATATATATATATACACACACACACACACACACACACACACACACATATACATATACACACACACACCACTGAGGTATATCACGATGGTGGCTGCCGTCCATAGCGGAAATGACGTCACCACGCTTCCGTCCTACAGGTTACGTCACAAACCACGTGACTTCCTCAGGACTTGGTATGTACCAGGCATTTCTGCCCCCCTCTATTTCTTCTATCATTTATTTTGTTATTCAACAAATTTTATATTAAACAAATTTTATTTATTTTATCATAATTTGTGTGTGTAAGAACATGTAGAGGACACAGACATTGCTATTTAATTTTCTTCCCTATATTTATAACATTGAAAGTTTGTAATACTAGATAGGACTTGGTTCAACATATCTATTAGCATTATAACACTAGGGGGCAGACATTTTTCTAGATGTCCATGTTAGCCATTTAATATATAGATTCATTTTAGGATATACGAACTCAGTTTGAGGTTTGTATTAGTACCGTTTTAGGTGCATTGTTCCACGGATTCAAAATAGTATAGGGTTTAAGAAAGGACAATAGTATTGAATTTGGATTGGTAATCCAGCAAGCAAAATGGAGAATATGGCCGCAGGAAGAGGGTGGGATGTTGTATAAATAGAGTCCAGTGGCGTCCGACGCCTACTGCCTATGAGGAAGTCAACTGAATGACGAAACAAGTCAGGCAGATGTGACGTCAGATGCAACCGGGAGTACTGCGGCGGCCATTTTGGAATTGGCTGAATTAGGCTGTTTGTACCTCAGATTCATGTAAGCGCAATTTTATTATTAAATTTATTTTCCTAATACTGCTGCACTATGGGAATGTATGTTTATCTTTCATGATCACTATGAGCATATGAAGAATTGGGGAGGAGATTGAGCACGTGGATTATAGATTTTGGAAAAGCAATTCACAAGACATTCAGGGTAAGGTGCATGCCTGAAGGGGAAGGGATTGTGCACATTGGATTTGTTTCGCACACAGGTGGTTGATTGAGCATGGTCACGTGTATTTGTGGATGTTATTCACAGTAAAAAGGAGTGAAATGCACTTTTTCACCCCAAGAGGGTAAGAGTATTTAGGGGATAAGTGGTGGACACTATTAATATTGAATTGTGAAAAGGTGTACATGTAGCACATTTGCATAAGCAATACTACACTATATTAGTTTTTTTTCTTTGGAGATACTTAATTGGAAGATCAAAAAGGAGAGTGAGACATTCTATGGCACACAACACATTGGTCAAAGAGATTCTGGTGAAAAGACAGGAGGATTGGAGTACGAAGGTTGTGCGCTCTTGTTTATAAGACTTGTTTACCCAGGGGGGGTATTGGACTGTCGGCTGCACTTTTGTTTTATGTTGTATTCTGTGGCGCTCATTATTATTCCAAACACATATTACTGCCACTTTGTGCACACCTAGTGTTTTGTTTTTTGAGTGATCCATATTTATTATTGGTTTACAAAAAAAAAAAAATATAATAATATATATAATTTTTTTTTTTTTTTTTTTTTTTTTTTTTTTTTTTTTTTTTTTTTTTACACACATTGGATCAGGATTAGTTTTCATGTGTCATGTAATTTATCTCCCATCCTCATTCCATGTTCACTTCATTCATATTTCTATATTATTTATTGCTCACTTATTATATCACGAGTTTGTGTTTATATGTTTTGCACCTATCTCTGTCATTCATCGTCGTCCAATTTTTTTGGTTCATCATTGCATAGGGTGTAGCAATTGTGCACACAGAGATGGACGCGGTCATCCATCTTGCTAAGGATCCTCCATCTTGTATCTCTCCCCCTACAATTCCCCCCTCCCTCTCTGTTGAGTGACACGTGGTCCCTGTGCTCTAGGGTTCAGAAGTGCACAGGCAATCCGGCACAGCGGGACAGCTCATGTTTATAAATCCCAAATTAGCTGGTGCCCGGGTGTCTGTTAGCTTCTCAATCTGAGATATCGCAAAACCATAAATCAGTCCTTCACTGAGTTTCAAAGATATTACGGCTAGTTGTAAAACAGACTCACATTTAAAAACCCACTTTTCCATATAATTTTATATCCAGAACTGGGAAATAATTACATAAAAAGCAAAAGCATATATTCGGTTAGCTCAGTTTAATGCAAGTCGTCTGAAATCTTACACCCCCTAGTTGAAATCTACAGGAGAGCAGAAAACGATATCTCCTTAACCCCGTCCCAAGCAGATATGTCATATTTAAGATCTAGACCAGGGGTGGGCAAAAGTTTTTGACTTGAGGGCCGCAATGGGTTCATATATTGGACCCGGGGGCTGGACCAAGAGTAGATGAATGATGTGTATGTGTCATCCATAGTAAGTATAGTAATATTCCCCCATAGTAAGCATAGTAATTAATCCCCCATATAGTAATTCATCCCCCATATAGTAATTCATCCCCCATATAAAGTCCCCAAGTCCCCCCCCTGTGTCAATTCACTTACCTTTGCTCCGCACGTTCCTCTCGCTGTGTTCCCACGCCGTTCCGGTGTAGCATGAAAATCTGTCTCCTATGAAGATCTGTCCCCCTCGACGTATCTGCGCATGTGCCAGTTTCAGGCATTAGCAGCCGATCGGCGATCTCCGGCACATGCGCAGATACGTCGAGGGGGACAGATCCTCATACGAGACAGATTTTCATGCTACACCGGTCTTCAGGGCGGACTGTAAGAGGAGCCTAGCTCCCCTCACGTTCTCCGCGGGCCGGATTAAAAGGTCCGCCGGGCCATATATGGCCCGCAGTTTGCCCATTGCTGATCTAGACGTTCAGCAGATGATTCTGCTTATTACTCTACTAGTGGCTAGGCTGCTACATGCACCTAGGGTAGGTTATTGATCATGATATAAACTGCAAGGGATTTTAGTTCTAGCTTGGGTCTCCGCCTAAACACCCGTCCCCAAATGAGGAGATTGGTTCTTTGTTTTAAGGAGACACCCTGCTGAGTTCCTAGAAAAAGACTTATGCTGGGAGGAGTGGAAGTTGAAGAAATCTCCCTTTTAACATCGGAACCAACTTGGGAGATAACACCCCTTTTGCTCTGAAACTTGATCTGCTTAACCCAGGACTTTTGGCAAGTACTTTACCTCTCTAAACTTCTGTTATCTCTTTGCTGTGTGTGTGTGTGTGTGTGTGTTACATCTTTTTCTGTAAATATTTTTATTGCACCCTTTTGAGCTTTTAGTAATAAATCTTACTTTCTGAAAGTGTTGAACTGTTTCTAAAGCTCTTTAATGCAAAACTAAGAATCCCTGTCTCTGAAGAGTGCTACTGTGTGTTTAAACTTCTGCATACATCTGTCTGCGGTGACATTGTGTATGCAGACGCTTATTCCAACATCATAGTGTTATTGCTAATATTGGCGAATTTCCTCTTTGGTGGTGGCAGTGTGAAGGGTTAATTGCGCATTAGCTGGAAAATCTTTGTCCAGGGTGCAGCTGAGCGTGGTATTGTTGCACACGTGACAGCACGGTTTTAGATTGGCTAGTCCTTCGTTCATGAGTTTGTCAGAAGGGCTGGGAGTCTGACGCCGCGATCGACACAAAGGGGTCTGTTCCCCCCAATCATTGTGTATGGCAGCATCAATATTTCCATACACTTTTTTGACACTATTGGTATTACAGGCAGGTGGTAGCAGCCGCCCGGTTCTATTTAGGTATTGGCAGCGCAGGAGGATTATTTTACTGGTTTGTCAAATCTAAATAGTTTACCTTTTTCAATGGCTGGTATGAGGGGGGGATAGACTGCCTCTCAACATCTCTGGAACGTTTATAGACCTTCTATACAAGAGTGTCTCAGGTCTTGAGTAGCTTATGAGGATTTATTGAGCAATATCAGTGACTCCAATGATGGAGAAATAATCCTCCCACTGACAGCAAATGATGTAAAACCATAATTCCTCCCTACCGACCACAGGTGCCATATCATTTTTTTTTACTCCCAGTGACTAACAAGTCCAACGTATTATTTACTCCCACTGATGCCAGTACATTTTCTACTCCTACTGGCCACAGTCCAGCCCTATAAAGTCTGAAGGACAGTAAACGGGCCCTTTGTTTTAAAAAAGTATAGAGACCCCTGAGCGACATGCTTCCAAAGTAAGGTCTCCACTGGGAAGCGCTCCCTACTGGAGCCCCCTTTAGGATGTGTGAATACAATGGTGTCTAACTATATCCAAAATAGTAGTAGGTGGATAGAACCTTTCAAAAGCCAGCATCTAATCAAAATAAGCGCACAAACCACTTAACCCTTTAACTGTGTAAAATATGTAACACTAATCTCTGCAAAAAAAAAAAACATAACATGTTGAACCTTTCACAATTCCACTGTGTGCCTAATTTCTCCAAATGAGTCGACAACCATTGCCTCTACTGCACTGAAATCACAAACACTGTTGACGTATCTACTGGACTACAGCAGCACCTCAAGAAGGCGAGGAGACAGAGAGGTGTTCTGCAGGGGAGAAGTGACAATGTATGGGATTTCAGTACAACAGAAGAAGCGTTGCCAGTTGACTATAGGAACCCACTAGAGTTCTGGTAGGATGTGTATGTCTTTTTCAAAATAATTGGAATTTTTACTTTTTTTTTTTTTTGCCCAGGCATACATTACACTTCAAACAATGTACAATCATATAAAGACTGTAAAAGACCAATCAGAAAAAAAATTAATGCAGATTTGCTGAGAAAGGCAGTTGTAATGCTGCCTGTGGGAGCCTCAAAATGATTTGACATACCAATGTAAACATCAAGAGCAGCTGAAGATTTGTCAGTTGTAGGATCGCTTATCAAGACTGCTTTTATTCCATTGGTTAATTCAACTCCCCGATATTCCCGCTTGTCTTCATGGGACTTGACAATGTCATTAGTGACTCGCTTGACCATAACAGAATTCATCTTGTTGAAGGTGTGTAATCTGTGAATAAATGTAGCTGGTAAATACAAGGCAAGGATAAAAAAATATTATGAAATATTATTTCTGTGAATAAAAAACACGAAATATATCACCAACAGCAAAGCACTGGGGAAAACAAAATTGCAGTCTACAGTGCAGATGAAGGGACTGCTTTACACATAAGCTAGTTCTTTGTTAGGTTTCCAGCTAGCTCCATTGATTCAGAGTAAAAAAGCAGATCGAATGCTGCCAGCAGAAACTTGTTAGGGAGGGTTTTCCCTTCTTTTGAAAGTCACAGTACTACTACAATTGTATAAATAGCTGACATAGAAGCCATTGGTAAAAAGGTAGAGAAAGGGAAGTCAGAAAAGTAAAGTAGTTGTTCATAATGACCAGTCACATTCCTTGTTTACTTTCCCCAGACAATAAGGGATAAAAAAAAAAAAAAAATGACTGGTTACTATAGACAAAATGTTTGTCTTTTAGTAAATAGCCCTTGCATTGCCTAGTGATCTTCTTTAGGTGACATAAAAAGGAAAAAAATATAGATTCAGGGTTTACCCTACAGTATACCAGTAGCAACCCATCGATGAACCCTACAACATGCAAGATTATAACCAGGAAGAATTAAAAGGAAACAAAAACACACACAAATATGTTAGGAATGCAAGAATGAATTCAGACCTCTTTAGGTTGATAACTTTAATTTCCATCAAATGATGGGTCAAAGACACCCGAAAATCAAAGTGAGAAAATGATGCAGCAGGGTAGTCCATTTTGCTGAAATTTCATTGCAGCAACTCAAAATGGTACTCAGTAGTTTGTATGGCCCCCATGTGCTTGTATGCATGCCTGACAAAGTCGGGGCATGCTCCTAATGAGACAACGGATGGTGTCCTGGGGTATTTGCTCCCAGATCTAGACCAGGGCATCACTGTGCTCCTGGACAGTCTGAGGTGAAACCTGACGGCGTTGGATGGACTGAAACAGGATATGCCAGAGGTGTTTATTAGATTTAGGTCAGGAACTGCCTGCATACTCTTGCCCCATGAGGCCGGGCATTGTCGAGCACCAGAAGGAACCCAGGACCCACTGCACCAACGTAGGGTTTGACAATGGGTCCAAGGATTTCATCCCGATACCAAATAGCAGTCAGGGTTCCATTGTCTAGCCTATAGAGGTCTGGGCGTCCCTCCTTGGATATGCCTCCTAGGCAGGATAACGTTCTCCACAGCTTCTCCAGACCCTTTCACATCTGTCACGTGCTCAGGGTGAACCTGCTCTCATCTGTGAAAAGCACAGGGCACCAGTGGTGGACCTGCCAATTCTGGTATTCAAAGGCAAATGCCAATCGAGCTCTATGGTGCCGGGCAGTGAGCACAGGGCCTACTAGAGGTCGCTAGGCCCTCAGGCCATCCCCATGAAGTCTGGAGCTGATTGTATGGTCAGAGACATTCACACCAGTGGCCTGCTGGAGGTCATTTTGTAGGGCTCTGGCAGTGCTCATCCTGTTCCTCCTTACACAAAGGAGCAGACATTGGTCCTGCTGATGGGTTCAGGACCTTCTACGGCCCTGTCCAGCACTCCTAGAGTAACTGCCTGTCTCCTAGAATCTCCTCCATGCTCTTGAGACTGTGCTGGCAGACACAGCAAGCCTTCTGGCAATGGCACGTATTGATGTGCCATCCTGAAAGAGTTAGACTGCCTGTACAATCTCTGTAGGGTCCAGGTACCACCTCATACTACCAGTAGTTATATTGACCCTAGCCAAATTCAAAACTAGTCAGAAAAAAAGGAGTAGAGAAATAAATGTCAGTGGCCTCCACCTGTAAAACCATTCCTGTTTTGGGGTTCATCTCATTGTTGCCCATCTAGTGCACCTGTTAATTTCATTAACACCAAAAGCACCTGAAGCAGATTAACCCCCTCTGCTACTTAACTAACCAGATCAATATCCCATGAGTTTGGTTGACTTGATGCTATACTCTGGTTAAAAAGTGTTCCTTTAGCCCCTTAATGTCCTACTTGTTACGAGTCTGCGACTCTACAAAATATTCCAGGGGCCTGATCTCCCCCCATCTTCCACTCCTCCAACTTTTAGGCATTCCCTTGTTCTCTCTAGGCCTCGAGTTCCCTGGCGCTTTCCAATGGTGGACCTCTCATAAATTCCACTCATTCCTCACTGGTCATTCCACTTACACCTGGGCGGAAATTATGGATAAATACCAGGCCCCCCATACTGAACTTTTTAGATTTCTACAGATTAAACATTGGCTGTCCTCAATGCTCGCTGACAAAATCCTGACAACCCAGTTGTCTCCGTTTGAACATATTTATCATCGGACGTCCTTTTCCCCTAAACTTATATCCACTCTCTACTTGCAGTTGAATACCCTCCAGAATCCCAATCATCACACTTACATTTCCAGGTGCGAAAGGGATCTTAAAAGCATGAGGGATGGAGGCTGCTGGTCATAAATTTGGACCACACTGACTCCTTGCTCTATTAATGTTCTCACTATTGAATCAGCCTTTAAAAAAACGGTCACGAGATGGTACCTGGTCCCATCCCGCTTGACACACTTTCATCCCTACGCTCCCAATACCTGTTTCAGGGGATGCTCTAATCCGGGAGATGTCCTCCATGTGTGGCAGATATGCCCTATGCTTGCTCGGTTCTGGACAAAAGTCTATAAAGCAGGGTTCTACCCAAAAGGGGATGTTACGCTTTAAAGATTGGTCCCCCGCTCCCCATTAAGGATTGGCACCTTTGAGGACAGGTACCCACTTCCGCTGCAATCAGATGTGGAAGTTGTCTTTTTTTACACTCCCTCCCCGTAGTCTTGTGGGACACATGACAGGGCCCAGAAGATGACGGGGCCATTCAGGAAGCGCAGCACTTCTTGCGCATGCGCAGTGGGCACCCAGCTGTGAAGCTGCAAGCTGTCACAGCCAGGTGCCCACACTGAAGATGCCGGCACCTGGAATACAGGACAGACGGTGAAACGGGCTGCGGCAGGGGCAACGCGGGATTATGGGACAGGTGAGTGGCTGTTTTTTTTAAAGTCAGCAGCTACAGTTTTTGTAGCTGCGGACTTATTTTTTTTTACAGAGTGAGTGGAACTCTGCTTTAAACTCCTACAATCATTATAAACCTGTCCCTTTCGAAAAGAACCGTGGCATGTCCTTCTGTTACATCTGAAACCGCTAGGCCTCACTAAATACCAAACTTAAACTGGCCACTTAGGTACTACTGGCAGCAAAACAAACCATAGCAAAAGCTTGGAAACAGCAGTTTACACCCTTACAGAAGTCAGCCACCACTTGGATTTCTTTTTCAAAAATGAAAAGCTTTCCAGCATCTTTTTAGATACACATGAGAAATTTTTCAAAATATGGACCCCATGGATCAAGCATGCCCATCCTACTATGTCAATAGCCAGTTATACTATGATATAAACACCGATACCCAGAGCCCAGGCTCAAGTACCTTTGATGTCCTCTCCCACCTATCTCTCCTCCTTTCCTTTTTTCTTTTTATTCTCTAGGCTCTTCCGAAGGGACTAATTGCAATTTGTTCTTATGCATTTTTTACTTTGTTTCTTGTATAATTCATTTTAAACATTGATGTCTCATTTACCAATACCCGATTCCTCAATCAAGGTGTATGGCTCCTTGTTATTACTAATGCTGTTCTTCTTTAGATGTAACAGTCAACACACCATTTTGATACACCATAAGCTAAGTTTTGGTTATGGTTTTTGTATATGATGTACAACCTGATAGGATTGTAAGCTATTGATCTTGTGCATCTGTTTGCAAACATGTCAACGATAACAACGTATACTTGGAAAATTTTTCAATAAACATTTATTGAAAGGAAAAAAATGTTCCTTTAAATTTCTCAAGCAGTGTGTGCGTATATATATTTATTTCAATTTTTTGGGAGTCAAACAGAAGCAATATTATAAAAATCGGAGATTATCACCATCATGCATTACACAATGGCAGTTATTTTCTAAAACTGGAGAGTGAAAAGTTTTTGCAACTCTGCATAGAAACCAATCAACTTATTGCCAAAGCTTAATTTAACTAGCTGATTATCGAAGCTGATTAGCTGCAAAGCACAGCTGCACCAGCTTCTGAGTTCTCTAGCTTATACAATAGTTTGCTGAAAACTTTCAGCATGGAAGTCATCCGCTTTTTTTTTTTTTTAAATAAAGGAATTGACTATAAGACCAAAATACCTCTGCCAGGATACACAGAGCTGTGCAGCTTACCACCAAAGCTGGACAGAGTGGACACCTGTCTACTCCACTGGAAGAGGGTTCCCATATGTCAGCAGTACACTATGAACTATGCAGCTCACCAAAGTGGACAGAGGGAAACCCATTTGCCAGCAAATTTTGTACAACAGGCCAGGAAAAGAGGCCAGAAAAAAAAACGAATAGTAACCATAGGACACCTATAGGGCACCTAATTTTTTTTTTACATGGGTTGTATCAAAACAGCGATTTGCTAGGAGCATCTAGCCTTATAACGAGAATAAGTCAGACAAAAAAAAAAAAAAAAAAAAAAAAAAAAAAAAAAAAAAACTTAGCATGCAAGTTAAAACACATAAAAATGAGGGGACGGACCTCCCAAAAAAAACTTAGAGAACTAAGAGGAGGATGTGAGTCTAGAAGGATGAGAAATGAAGAGGTATTGAGCAAATATGGTTATGAGAACATATTGGCAATATTGCACGTAGATGCATGATAGACCAAAACATGGAATCATTGACATAGAGGAAATTTATGGAACGGTGGGTGTGAAGAAGTTACACTGAGGTAAGTTAGTTGTTATTGTGATTCTAAGTCAGATATGAAAATGTTAATTTTAGCATGCTGTAAGCACTATCCCAGTGAGAGAAAGGGGGGGGGGGGGGGAAAGGGGGGGGGGGGAGATGGGTATCAAGGGAAGTAACTAAAGATATCGAAGTGGGATGACAGAGGGGGGTAGCATGTGTCTCTCACCCTCTC